CTCGGGGAACCGAGAACCGAGTCAAAATAAAATTCAAAATGGCGACACTCTACAAACAGGCAGTGCGAAATTTGCGCATGCGTCGCTCGTTGGGAAGTTGGAAATGCCATGGGGGTACGCTAATGAGAAAAGGTTGGGAACAGTTAAAATAGACAATATATTTTCCGCATGCATCGCGCAATTTTAAGTACTACCGTACACACAAATATAAAGCCTTTGGTTAAAGGAAACGAAAGCGGTCGTACGTTTTCTTGCGGTAAACAGAAAAAGACGATTTGCAAATTAATTAAAACAAAATAAAAATATATTTACTTGAAAGACGCGATACTTACGACAGGAGCTATAAGAAACAGTCACGAATGCCCTCCATGTAATTTGAGAGATTTTCGAATTTTTTCAAATAGCGGAGAGGCAGAGCGACCGCTATAAACGAACGCATCCAAATGTAATATTGTTAAAAGAGTAGCCATTGCTTTAGCACAGTAACGTTGCGGGTAATTATTTACAGGAAAAGTACCGCAAATATAGCTCCTATTTATATTATTCATATTATGTATACGTTAAATCGGCGATTTATTTTTACGTAAAATTTTCATTAAAATATAGAAATAGCGAAATTTGTATTGCTCAGAGAACAGTAGCCTAATTGTGCTAGGTGATTGTGACTCGCTGAAGAAGAGAGTCATTATTGAAAAACTTCTACGAATTCTCGAAAACGCCCCGAAAAACAATTTTTTTAAAAATAATTAGGCTAAATTTTGTTATTTAATCAAAAAATTACATTTGAACTCCATTGTTTTATAACTATTTTTATGCAATTTCACGAAAATACTGGTCAGCCAGGGATTGGAATGAAAAAACTGATCCATGAATAGTTTGAGAAGTATTACTCTAGGGAGATTTCCAGTGTGTCAATCCGAAAACAACACTCGTTCCACAAAAATTTATCATCTGAATATTTTATTACATCTTTGTTATGGTACATATCTTGAATATTTTATTAACAAGAAACTAATTGGAAGCGTCTTCTGACGATAGACTTGGATACAACAATCGGTAGGACCTTACTTCGGATTTCTCACACATATGTAAATTCAGTGTGTTTGAATTATTACAATCTTAATTACATTGAAGGAACCGTTTTGAACATAAAAATCATTCCGAAATTATTAAATAACACTTTATATTTATTTACCATTAATCTCAGATCTTATGGTATTAGCTTATTCATAAAAGTTACAAAAGAGAAGAGCAGAATTTGCTGGCGCAAACCTCCCTTAGAAGGCATGTACCGTACAGATGCAGAACAGCATTAGCACACCAACATACACAGTAAATGCCTGTGCATTTACTGTGTATGTTGTGTGCTAATGCTGTATGTTGTACAGTACTGTGCATTTTATTAAATTTTCATATTTTCATTTTTATCCGGTTAAAACGACGGCATCATTCTATTTTGCTAGATATATGGTAACAAAATTTATCTATTACAGATAAGATGTAAAACATTTGTTATAAAGATGTACTTAGTATCACGAAATTTTTACTAGAAGCTTCGCCCAATGGGTTTTGTCCACGAAAGTGGACAAAACCCATTGGGCGAAGCTTCTAGTACGCATATAAAATATTCAATACAACAATTTTAATTATAATTTATGTTCTTCAACAATTTTATAAATTTGCAGGTAATTTTNTCAAGATTAAGGAAAGTCAGTCAGACAGACAGGCAATAGTGGGAATTTATAGGTCTACAAGTTTTTCAAATTGCAGTCCAATAAATGTCAAAGCATATGCTAGCCTAAAAATGTTGAGTTGCATTGATTCAGGTTTGTAAATGTGAAACAAACTTAAGTAATTCATCAGTCACGTCACTCAGTTTCAACATATTTATTTTGTATTTTATATAACAACACAAATTAAAATATCTTACAGATATTATGACTGTTAAGAAATACAGCATTGATACAGCGTACATATTTATAAATATTGGTGGTTTGTAAGAATTTGTAATGGTGGGACTGTAGCAATAAAAGTGAAACAAATATCAATATGGATTGAAAAAATTACATCATCAATAAAACTAAAATATATGCTATATATATATAATATACTCATGATTAATAAATTAATTAAATTTTATTTTAAAATTAAATCAAATTTGCCTGTTTCCATGTTTCCTAACTGATTCGGGATTCTTTAAAACGTCGGTACACTAAAAATAAATATAAAATATTCAATACAACAATTTTAATTATAATTTATGTTCTTCAACAATTTTATAAATTTGCAGGTAATTTTTAGAATAACAGTAATCTATCACAAAAAGAAAAACTATGCCGATAAATATCATCTACTTATAGCACCCTTACATCACGAGTTAAAAAATACAAATATTTTTGCAATTTTAAAATTCTGTACACACAACAAACCTTTGCTTTTGTTATTGTAAAGAGTTTATACGATACATTAGAAAACCAATAACAAAAATATAATTGCAACCCTATCTTCGAACATTCGAAGAGCCAGTAGAAAAATCTATACTGTCATCAGCAAGAGAGAGGTGCTGATAAATATGTCCGACAGTTTAAGCCTTTTTGGAAAATGTCGTTGGTCAGCGATTAGTACAACCATACATATCTGCAGTAAATTGTTATACAGGCTTCCAGGTTATAATGCAAGAAATATGAATGATTTTAGTTTTCTTGGTTACAAAGAATGTCATTTAACAATTTAAACATATTTAATAATTCTTCTTAGATAAAAATACAAATGAAATTTTATCAAATTTCATTTGTATTTTTATCTAAGAAGCAATGCAAAAGCAATGCAAATTTTATCAAATGAAATTTGATAAAATTTGCATTGCTTTTGTACAAACAATTTAATTTATCATTTGCTGTCAACAACACAAATGAATTGTCAATACGATGCAATGCTTCGCAAATCGAGAGCCGACTACAATTTTGTTCGCGTCAGGCACGACAGTATTTTGGACCAGCGTGAGCAAAATAAAGAAAACATTCTGATAGGCATTTTCTAGAAAAAGTAGTAGCAGTTTCAACTGAATGCCAGATGGTATTTGATTGGCGAAAGCATGTAAAATTCATATCAAAGACATTGAAATATTAATATAGTTATTCTTGCAAACTTTAAAAACCAAATGCACTTTTTATTGTTTAATGAAAAGTTAACTCTAAACCATTAAATTTCGAAGTAGCATTACTTTGGAAAATAAAGCAACTTTATCTGAAATATTAAACCATTAAAAATCCCTCTAATTCTACATTTTCTATGAATGATTGTATTTGTGGGTAATTATATATTAAATTCAAATAAAATTATCAAAAATTAAAATCTGAAACATTTATAAAAATAAATCAGTCTACCGTTTTAATATAACGACAAATTTAACAATTAAAATTAAATAATTAGATCTATGCTACCACAAATATCAGAAATTTGACACTGTAAGTATCAAAATCTTAAGTCTGTTTTAGTGTTCTCATTTCCTTCCACATCTCTTATTCATATTCAATGCAATTTAAATTCTTCTTCCGAAGCAGCAAATTCACTAATTACATGATATTGTTACAGAAAATGATAAAATTCTTATGCTGCTATATTAATTTTAAGTAATAATGTAAACTTACTTATTGTGCAAGAATGATATTCTATTACATGGTACTAGATCTAATATCAGGCAAGATTGGAATGGAAGTGGCCCGGATTTCTGAATTTTCCAGTTTTCCGGGCACAAGCAAATATACACACGAGAAAGATAAACAGTGGAAAGTAACAAACAAAACTGTGTTTATAACACTGTATGATAACAGTCACTGGTGTCGTGCAACAGAAACCAGAACACTGACCGTGTGGAAACCAGAGTAAGCCAAATTAAAGCTAGCTGGTTTTTTTGGAATTCTGAATACATTTGGTCCAGTATTGTTTCCATTCTACAAAAAATTTTTTTTTCAAACTCAGTTCATGTTCTTTAAAAAAGTTTTAACTTATAAGTTTATTATTCAATATTTCTGAAATCACGATATTATTATATTAAAAATACAATAATATCAGATCGTGATTTCAGAAATATTACACAATTAAGAAATATTATAAACACTCCCAATAAACAAGATCAAACCAGATGATGTCTCTCTTATTATGAACATAAATGGGCGATCTACAACAAAATTTACAGGTGGTATATAACACAAGAACATAGGTAATGCCGTTGCCGCTGCGGCTTCAGTACCTTCTTCGTTAACTTCGACGAATGCCTTGTGTAAAGCGTCAGACACGTAGAGATCTTTGTTGCCACCAATGCCCGATAAATCTGCACTACTGTTGAAAACATCGACCATTCCTAATTGTATCAGAAGATTCTTCAGAGGAAGATTTTCTTCTAATTTGAATCTTGGAAGGTACAATAAAACTTTCTCCTTTCTCATCATCCCAATTTCTTTATTTACACTTTCCAGTGAAATGTTATTTTCAAGATTGGAAAGTCCATTTTTTTCCTTTGGTAAAATAATTACCATACTGTATTTTTTTCCAGAATATGGAATTTCCAGAAATGAAGCATTTAGTTCTTCCGAAAACATATGATTATAATCTTCCTCCCTAAACATCATATTGACCATTTTTTGTTCGTTATTAATTGCATAGAAAGGTTTCTTTGACGTTTCATTCCTATCAAAAGGCAATCTCCACATTCCCTTAAAATAAATGGCATTGGCCAAAACTAGTCTCGTACTGGCTTGGATGGAACTGGGAGAAAGCAGATCCTTTATTTTCGACCGAGTGGCCTCTTCTATGAATTTGTTAATTTCCGAACGCGCCCTCTCGGACTCATCACCAAAATTATACTTTTTGATGTCAACAGAATAATTTGATCTCAGTCCGTCCACAAAATCTGGTAATATGTTATAAGATGAATCAGCAGCCAACAAGTTAACATTGTTAAAAACCAAGTCATCCTTTTCCGAACATAAAGATTTAAATATAGCTCGAAACTGTTCATGTATCTGTCGGTCGTCTTCCTTCAGACCAAGGACTTCTTCCATCTGTTTCTTCGTATTACCCTTTGTTCCTGCATAAAGCATAGATAGAGCTACGGAAATGCTTAACGGAGAAAAGAATATATTCTCTCTGCAATTTTCCTTCCTTTGTTCTAACAAAAGCTTACACCCCAGTGAATTCGATGAAATAACTGCTGCATCCATTGTTTCTGGAAAAAGAAAATACTTTAAAATGTCACTTCAATGAAAATATATTCATAAATGGAAATTTTTAAATTAACATTTTAAATAAATATAATTTACTTGATATTAACTAATTAATATTGATAATTCTGCGCTTTATAGGGAAACACAATGCATTTTATCAAAACTATCGGTGTTAAACTCAGTCTATTCAAGTATTTAAATTTTACTATAGCATTTTTAGAACATTGAAATTTAAATTGGTCAATTTGTCTCTTAGTAATTTATATACCAAAATGTAATTTTTATTAATGAATGTTGTAAAATACATTGAATAAACAATTGAATAAATATCATTTCTATGTAGTTTGTGCTTTATTAGAGTACAAATAAAAAAGAAAACTTATTTGTGCTTCAATAAAGTAACAACTATGTACAGAAACACTTTAAATGGATTCTGTAAAAGTGTATCACTGCCAAAATTTGTACAATTGGAGTTTCCCTAGCTTTCTTTTTTTTACTGTTATTTCATTATGTATTTTGTGTGTAAGAGGTCCTCCTCAGACTTCTGTTGTAGTCCGAATTCATAAATACACAAAAAATAAGCTGAGAAAACTGTTTGGAAATCTTTTGGCAGTGATACTAGTAGTAGTAGCAGCAGTGGTTTGGGCCATTCTAATCACAAAATTAATTTTTCAAGTGAAATGGAATTATTACAGAGTTTTATTTTTATCATCAATACTGAAATTCATTGACGAGTTCCAAAATCATCTTTCTTGGCGTCACATTTTAAAATATCAAAAATTAGATCAAAAATTGATTCCTGCACTTACTCGCAGAAATATCTTTCTTTAGATAATCTGAAGGAAAAAGTGGAATCACTTAAATAAAAACTTTTTCAAAATAATTTCAGTGTTATATTATTCCAAATTATCATTCACTTTGAGAAAATTAATTCAAATATTTATAATAAAACTTCCTATTGACAAATTTTTATTATTTGCGATCATGAATATGACAAATTTTAAAAGTTGTTTGTAATAATTCCATTTGACACTGTAACTTAATACTTCATCAGAAATTAAAACAAATTATTTGTAATCTTAATTTAATTTATTCAACAATAAAAATTATTTATATCCTGTAATCTTAATTTAATAATTTCAGCATTGATAAATAATTCCATTTCACTCAAAAAAATTAATTTTGTGATTAGAGTGGCCCAAACCACTACTACTTGTAATTTACTGCAAATCAAGCCTTTCATCTTAATCTAAATCATCTTACTGCAAGTCCTTTTCTCAAATAAAGAAAGGAAAAAAGTTCTTGTTTTAGAAGCAAATAAATTATTAGAATGCTCAGTTTGAATAGATGTATCAAATCTTTTGATGGCTAAATGTATCCTCTCTTCTCCTTCAACTTCATCCTGAAGAAAACTTAAAAAACAACCAAGATCAGTCCTGCATGATGAGTTTGTGGACATAACTTGGTTACAAGAATGATCTTCATGATGAATGATCTTCTGTATGAATGATTCTTCTGTAGACCTACGACTAGCTGACCAAAATCTTTCTCAAGCATTAAGTGTTTTTCTCTGGTAAAGATGACTAGTGGTATAACAGTTATCTCTTGCAATACCTAATGTTTCCAATGCTCATAATTTTGTTTTGAGTTAATCAACGTTTTCTTAAATGTTTCCTTTGATTGCATTATTTTTCTATAACACTAAAGAAAAAAAGATCTCTAACATATACTTCTGTAAGCAATTCTTCTCTATCAAAACAGACTTGAAGATGTCTTTCAGCCTTACTGTAACTTTTTCCATTGGAGGAAAAACTCTTAACTCTTTGGATAGTGTTCCCTTTTTCACAGCTTGAGATAAATAGGTAAATTTATCATGATTTTCTAAATTTGGATCTCTATCAATTTTCTAAAATTATCTCCAGAATCCTAGCCATTTCTTCACATCACCATCTAATGTGGGTAATTTTATCTTCAGATAACAAATTTTGTGAAAGTGATGCACTACTAGACTGTAGTAATAAAAAAAACAGGATTAAACAGAACGGAATTCTCTACCTTTGCTTTAAGACTACTCAATTTATTATCAAAAAGTCTCCATCTATCAATGTATGTCTCCAATTCATTTATTTCACTCTCAATCAAACCATTATCCTTAGTTTCTAAAAAACTATCAATATTTTTTTTAACTTGGTCCTGAACAATTAGCATCAATTTTTCATTCTGTTCATTAGGACTTTTAAGAGATCACGATAAAAAGGCAACAATTAAATGCAGTATTTTTGGTGTCAGTTTTGCATATTTCAGTGATTTTACATGCATTCTAACTCTTTAATGTCAAAGGTTTAACTTTATAATTTTTTCATTATCCAATAACTCAGCTTCTTTCTCATACTCATTACATGCTTTTGTAAACAAACTTCTATGCTGTTTCCAAGTTACTTTTAACTTCTCCATGTTTAACAAAATAAAATTTACTTTGTAGCCATGAATACCAGTTATTGTTGATAGATTACAGTTTTATTTACTCTTTTTTTTCTTACACAATTTGAACATGGAATAAAAACAAAAGATCAAACTGGTTGTCCTGGCAACAAACAAACTGTTTAAATATTGCAATAAAACTAAAGATAATGATTGATATATAAAATAACGTAAATATATTAATGCATTTTTACTGCTTAACAAGCAATTATTTATTGTGACATCGTCACATCATCAAGCTGAAATTTTTAGTCATATTTTTTAATTTATTTAATTTAAAATATCTCTAATTAGTAATGTCTTGCCCTGTACATAAGAATAAATTTCAACAAAATAAAAACTCTGGCAAACAAGTCAATACTGTATTTCCAACAACCATCTTATGGGGCAAGGCATCATTCTTATAAATATTACTCTTTTGCCAGGATTGATGATGATGTCAAAATCTATGAATGTATAAACAAGCACCTTCACCACCATGATGCTAGTCCTTTTCCAATGCCAGGAGATTTACTCTCAAATAGATTGCAATGTTAATTTCTACAGACTGTCAACTTTTAAGACATCACAATAAAAAGGCAACAATTAAATGCAGTATTTTCGGTGTCAGTTTGCATGTTTCACTGATCTTACATACATTCTAACTCTTAAATGTTAATATTTAGATAGATGTTGGTTGACATTAATGTCCATACTAATGCATTCACCTAGTCCTTTCTATCTCCACCTGCATGCAGTCTTGAAACTGATAATAACCATTTAAGATAATCAAAAACATTTGTTCTCCAAAACTTCCTACTGGATTGTATTTTTCATGATTTGTCATTTATTTTTCATAAAATAATTTCTGTTAGTCTTTTGTATAAACCTGTCAAAATTTTTCATCATTTTTCCTTAAAAAATAAATAGTTGTTTGGTTTTATCTTTTGGATATTCTCATGCACAAAGCAAATCTAATTTTTCTCTTAAATTCTAAGATATGGTATTCAAGCAGTCTCATCTGTTGGGAAATTTTCCCCCCATTTATATGTATTTATGTACAGTATTTTGAAAATTGTAGTCTAGCATAGTACAATCTCTGGAAAATATTATGGAATCACTTTACCATAAGGATGTTTTTACAGTCATTTAAATATATCTGTATGTAGCAAAGAAATAAAACAAGCATTAATACAAAATAATTTTCTAATTATAGTCAGACCTTTTGCCTATATTAAGAATAAATAATCAACGTAATATTATGTAAATTAAATACAAACTTTTTTAATATTAGAAGAAAAAATTATGGAATTATCTTATATTTTATCATATTTAAAACATTGCTTGCTCTATTGCTCAAAATGCATCAAATGAACGTAAATGCACGCATTGTCCTGCAAAAATTACTGGCATTTTAAACTTTAAGGAAAAATTTTGTAAAATGAACAACATAATCTGTTCATGTAAAGTTGGAGAATCGGGAACCTTTTTTTGCCAATTCTTAACAGTTGAATCCACTCTCCATCGATTACACTTATGAGTTTCTCCAAATTCTGATTTTCGAATAATCATCTGTTTTCACGTGGGAATAGATTAAAACTTATATTGGGCTCCTGTGTGATTTTGGAATTTCAAATTGGAATTCAATTCAAAAGCTTTTCCCTATTGCTATTCATCTTTACTCCTGACAATACACAAGAATGATTGAAACAACCCAGATAAAATACTTTTGTTTTCAAACACCAGAGAGTGAGCATCTGGCAAAAAAATGCAAACACACGGTTCACAAAAATTATTGCAAAAATGCAAAGAATCCTTTGCTCGCACATATAGGACAAGCTAGGTTTTTGAAGCAATCAAAAATGAATAAAAACCTTGTCTTACATGTGAGTAAATACGGTGTATATATATATTATTATTTTATTTTTCTTCTATATCTTTATTGTTTAAAATTTGTAATTTTTAAATAATTTTTGGGGTCTGTTATTTATTAGGGGGTGGAAATCAATTGTCACTTGACATTTCCTACATTATATATAATAAATCATTCATGTCTAAACTGTAGAAATATTTGTTTAATATAAAACTGCATGGAGTACCTGTGGCTGACTACTACATGTACAGTACTCCATGCAGTTTTATATTAAACAGCTTAAAATAGTTTTCAAATCACAATAAAAGAATAACACTTTAAATAAACAGCAAAAATTTAATAAGCAAACATTTTCAACCTGTTTAAAAGTCTTCTTCACGCAAATTTTTTTCAAATCACAACAGAAAAGAATATACATTCAAACCAAGAGTTCAAATCTTATAAAACTGCTGAGTTGGGGAATGCTCTGATTAAAATTTGTAAATATTAACTGATTACAACATAACCACATTATTAAACCATGTTGAGGCAAATTATTACATAAAACAAACTATATTAAAATAAATGAAATGAACAGATCAAATAAGTCAGAGTCCTATAGATCCTACAGTCCTACAGCTCATTCTACTCCTAAGGGACCTTGTATCTTGATTTCTAGGCACTAGAAATCATGGTACAATGTCCTTGCTGTTAATCGATAAGCCTTTTGTGAATTTATAAATGTTGAGTTCCTCTAAGTTTTAAAAGTGAAGAGGAAGAAGGTGCATCAATTAAGTTTTATCATCAACTGCACTAGAGTTGGAGTTAGACGTCAGTGATTATGATTTTAAAAAACAGTTATTTCTAACAAATTCAAAATTAAACTCATTCTTTTATGCAGTAAATTTGATCACCATTTTCAAAACTTCTTTTTAATAATTTCATCTGTCTAATTTTGAAAGTACCAAGGTTCAAGAAGCTGTTTGAACAAGCATTTCTTGTAAGAATGAACTGAAGGCCCAGGAAGAGTCAAAAATATGTTTTGGTTACGTAGATTGTTTCCCTTTCTTTTAATTTAAAATATCTTCTGTTTATATTGTTTTCTATAAAACTTTTATAATGATTACATTTATGAGCAGAAAAGTTTTTAATTACAAAATAAAAGAAGATATTTATTAACTTAATTAATTAAACAATATTTACTATTTAATTGCATTTATGATATGGTGACATCAAAGCAGTTTTTTTTAACCAAATAACAAGTTTAAATAACATTATCTAGTTACTTCCTTGTAATGCTTAATATTCATAAAAATACAAAAAATGACTTAAGAATAAAGTATAGAATTATTATATGAATGAGTTAAAACACAAGTAGTTGCATAGATGATTATGGTCCTCCCAAAATAATCAGACCTTTACTACTACAAGTATATCCATAATGACACAGTTATCAAAAGAAAGATCTGGTTAAATAGCAAAGTACGGAATTAAGTTACTGTTAATGCTAGATTTATCATCCATATCTTCAGGTTGGTTTTACTTAATTCAAATTTTTCTGAAGGAATATAATCATTCATACTTTTTAACTAACAGTTAAAAATTACAAGATAAAAGTTAATGAAAAGTAAGACAAACTAAGAATTGTACCAATAATAATAATAAAGTATACTGAAAAAGCCAGCGATGGATTGTGTAACTTTCCTGGCTGTAAAGAGATTTCATAATAAAATATAACTTTTATATTATAAATTATAACAGAAAGACAAAAGGTTTAATTTGGAGGGTAGGGATGACTTTTTAAAAATATTGTAAATGCAATATTGTAAAATGCAAAATATTCAAAAAAATGATAAAAAAGTCATTAAGTCCAACCTCATCTGAGATATGACACGGGACTCCCTCTATTTCCTCACTCCTCCACCTTTAACCACCAAAATTTAATAGCATCAATGCACCTTATACAAAAGCTACAAAATGTGAACTTTGTTAATTTTTACCCATCCTGAGATATTAAAAAATAGACACCAACAGAGATACATCCATGGAAATTTTCCTGGTTTTTTTTTTAACTTTTTGGGTTCAGGGGTGTCAAAACAGAGATTTGCAGAAACCCCGGAGGGTCAAATTTGACATAATTCCAATAATACTTTCCCTTATTATGTACACATAACATCTGGGAAAATAAAATTTAAGATGATTACAATACTTTTTCATGTTATATTATAACAGCAGGGAAAGTAAAAGGCAGAAAAATTTAGCAAGATCATAAGTATCAAAGAAAACAAACATTTAAAAATTATAAAATGTATATAGTACATTCTTATTGAACTGTGTTGATGGGTTCTTGGAAACTGAGACTAACTGAAACATGTAACAAAACCAATTGTATTATAGACTAAATGACAAACAGTTAAACTCCTATAGCATATTTCCAGTCACACAAAATCACTAAACTTCTAAAGACTAAAAACACTTCTAAGTATCATACATTGAAATAAAATTTATTTAATTTAATGTGAGTTATACATACATTTAAGAAAGATTAATAAAATCAAGGAAGATTATCATCTTTTGGTAAATCAGTGACTGATGTAGCTGTAGCAAACGTTGAGTGGTATGAGGAGGAAGGTTTAAGCTTCACTACTGAAAATGAGTAAAGTTAAGTAATGAAGAATAAATGTTAGCAAAGAAAAAATTGTAAGGAGCATCTCTTACCACAACACAGTCAAAAACAAACAATTGGCAATTTCCAAAGAACTAGAGGGCACTATAAAAATTATAAATGACAAAATTCAAACAGGGCAAGTTTGTTAAAATTTACATTTGACATTAAAACATCTTCTGTATTGTTAATGAAGATATAGGTTCGAGTTGTTTGAAAAAAGATCAAAGTATAACAAGCAATTCTTTTATTTTGACATTGTCACAATGCTGGGCTGCAATTTTTAATCATATTTTTAATTTATTTAATTTAAAATATATGTTCTCCAATTCAAATTAGTAGTGTCTTGCCCCTGTACATCATACTTTTCCTGTTAGCAACAGTCATGCCTGCCATCTAACTCTTTTCGCAGGAAAATTTTTAAATGAAATAACATAACTTCTGGTTTGTACCAAAAGTTCGTATACAATATAGTTAATTGGAGTTTCCTGCCCCAAAGCTTTCCATATTGGGTCTTGATTTTCATCTATCTAACTCCATTCTCAAGATTAAGGAAAGTCAGTCAGACAGACAGGCAATAGTGGGAATTTATAGGTCTACAAGTTTTTCAAATTGCAGTCCAATAAATGTCAAAGCATATGCTAGCCTAAAAATGTTGAGTTGCATTGATTCAGGTTTGTAAATGTGAAACAAACTTAAGTAATTCATCAGTCACGTCACTCAGTTTCAACATATTTATTTTGTATTTTATATAACAACACAAATTAAAATATCTTACAGATATTATGACTGTTAAGAAATACAGCATTGATACAGCGTACATATTTATAAATATTGGTGGTTTGTAAGAATTTGTAATGGTGGGACTGTAGCAATAAAAGTGAAACAAATATCAATATGGATTGAAAAAATTACATCATCAATAAAACTAAAATATATGCTATATATATATAATATACTCATGATTAATAAATTAATTAAATTTTATTTTAAAATTAAATCAAATTTGCCTGTTTCCATGTTTCCTAACTGATTCGGGATTCTTTAAAACGTCGGTACACTAAAAATAAATATAAAATATTCAATACAACAATTTTAATTATAATTTATGTTCTTCAACAATTTTATAAATTTGCAGGTAATTTTTAGAATAACAGTAATCTATCACAAAAAGAAAAACTATGCCGATAAATATCATCTACTTATAGCACCCTTACATCACGAGTTAAAAAATACAAATATTTTTGCAATTTTAAAATTCTGTACACACAACAAACCTTTGCTTTTGTTATTGTAAAGAGTTTATACGATACATTAGAAAACCAATAACAAAAATATAATTGCAACCCTATCTTCGAACATTCGAAGAGCCAGTAGAAAAATCTATACTGTCATCAGCAAGAGAGAGGTGCTGATAAATATGTCCGACAGTTTAAGCCTTTTTGGAAAATGTCGTTGGTCAGCGATTAGTACAACCATACATATCTGCAGTAAATTGTTATACAGGCTTCCAGGTTATAATGCAAGAAATATGAATGATTTTAGTTTTCTTGGTTACAAAGAATGTCATTTAACAATTTAAACATATTTAATAATTCTTCTTAGATAAAAATACAAATGAAATTTTATCAAATTTCATTTGTATTTTTATCTAAGAAGCAATGCAAAAGCAATGCAAATTTTATCAAATGAAATTTGATAAAATTTGCATTGCTTTTGTACAAACAATTTAATTTATCATTTGCTGTCAACAACACAAATGAATTGTCAATACGATGCAATGCTTCGCAAATCGAGAGCCGACTACAATTTTGTTCGCGTCAGGCACGACAGTATTTTGGACCAGCGTGAGCAAAATAAAGAAAACATTCTGATAGGCATTTTCTAGAAAAAGTAGTAGCAGTTTCAACTGAATGCCAGATGGTATTTGATTGGCGAAAGCATGTAAAATTCATATCAAAGACATTGAAATATTAATATAGTTATTCTTGCAAACTTTAAAAACCAAATGCACTTTTTATTGTTTAATGAAAAGTTAACTCTAAACCATTAAATTTCGAAGTAGCATTACTTTGGAAAATAAAGCAACTTTATCTGAAATATTAAACCATTAAAAATCCCTCTAATTCTACATTTTCTATGAATGATTGTATTTGTGGGTAATTATATATTAAATTCAAATAAAATTATCAAAAATTAAAATCTGAAACATTTATAAAAATAAATCAGTCTACCGTTTTAATATAACGACAAATTTAACAATTAAAATTAAATAATTAGATCTATGCTACCACAAATATCAGAAATTTGACACTGTAAGTATCAAAATCTTAAGTCTGTTTTAGTGTTCTCATTTCCTTCCACATCTCTTATTCATATTCAATGCAATTTAAATTCTTCTTCCGAAGCAGCAAATTCACTAATTACATGATATTGTTACAGAAAATGATAAAATTCTTATGCTGCTATATTAATTTTAANTTGATATGATTACTGATGTGGAATATGGAATTGATGATCACATAAAAGATATGGCTGTTTGTACTCAAAACTGCAATTTATGTACAAGACACTTAGACAGAATTTATGACAGAATAGAGCTGACCTGCATTGAATTCTTGTGCATGTTGTAAAATTGTGTCTTTTAAGACAGCTAGGTTTTTAACTTCCCTTTTATAGTCTCAATGTTTTTTTTTTGTTTGTTAAGAATATTCAACAACAGCAATTGTAAACAATTATAATGAAAGAAAAACTCTGACTTTTGATGGGGGTCCACCAGTGGCCAAGTGGCCTTCATTCCCCGAACACTGGGAGTTTGGTCGTGGGTTCACACCTCACTCGAACAGGCTGTGGAGTTTTCCAGGTTTTCTCCACATCTGTAACGCCTAAATAGGGGTCAGTTTCCCTTAAAAACACCTCCCAGAAGGCCTCCCTAGGCAGATTGCCCAAGTGTTGCATTGCTGTAAATAAAACAAACAAACTGACTTTTGATATTAAATAGACTTATATATTGAAACAATTTACAAAACTATGCAATAACTTTTGACAACTGTTGATACAACAGTTGTCAAAAGTTATACATATAACATAGTCAAAAGTTAGTTGTCTATCATTATTAGACAAAAATGTTCAAGAAAAAAATCATAACAACAACAACATAATAAAGGTAGTATAACAATATATTTTTACATCTTTAAAGTTAGTATGGCAGAATGTGTAAAAAAAAGTTATTATTATTATTACAATCTAAAAATTCTATTTGTATTTGATTTCAATTATTTTAGATCGGTAAGGAATTATTTGATTTTCAAATGTTATCACCTAAAGATGATAGATATGAAAGCTGCTAAAAGTTCTTAGATAGTTTTATAAATTGTTTCACTATAAGTTTACTTAGCATTGAAAGTTTTTCTTTTAGTTGTATGTTTTTTGATGTGAAGTGCTAATATTGTCTACTGTATATGATTACAAATGAACTTGTATTTTTTCTCATCATTATTATAAGAAAAATGACAGACTCACAGAGTTTAGTCATACATTATATATACATATACATCTTCCTCAAAAGCATCTCCATCTAACAAAACTTGCCTCCGAAGTCCACTGTCCGACGCCGTCAAACCGATCTTTCCCTCCACTCTCTCTCAAACGACCGTTGTAATAACGTCTTCCAAAAAACTCTCGAGGGGCATCAAACAAAACTTGTCTTTCTTCTCGTTAACCATAATAAAAAGCTTTCTTTTTTCCACCATTCCGCCCGGCAGATCACTCGTTATTTTGTTTATATACCCATCTCTTTAAATTGTTACATTTCAAATGCTTCAATCGTTTTCGTTCTTCTCTCATTCGACATCAACAATAATTCATTATCCAAATCAAATTTCTAGTAACTTTAATTTTCAACTTTCTGGAGATACATACCAGTTTGCTATTTANAGAAAGACAAAAGGTTTAATTTGGAGGGTAGGGATGACTTTTTAAAAATATTGTAAATGCAATATTGTAAAATGCAAAATATTCAAAAAAATGATAAAAAAGTCATTAAGTCCAACCTCATCTGAGATATGACACGGGACTCCCTCTATTTCCTCACTCCTCCACCTTTAACCACCAAAATTTAATAGCATCAATGCACCTTATACAAAAGCTACAAAATGTGAACTTTGTTAATTTTTACCCATCCTGAGATATTAAAAAATAGACACCAACAGAGATACATCCATGGAAATTTTCCTG